ACCAGGCCTGTGTGTTTTTTAGAACAGAGTTTTCCCCAGGAGTCACCCAAAGAAGTGATCATTCTCTTTGCCTGGTACCCTGTGTGAGTTGTTGCAGACGCTTTCTGATTGCACTCGAGTCAAAGAATTGCACATCTCTCTGAGAAGCCACGCGGCTGTCACCACTGCCCCTGTTCGGTGTTGTGCTGGCATCCTTGGAAGGCAGATACTCTATGGCTTGTCCTCCAGCTCTGCTAAGTTAATGATTTAGTTTCTGAGTCACTAAGCACACACTCGGACAGTCGGTCAGGGCACATACCTAAGACAAGCAGCTGAGGGCTGGAAATAGCCTGATTAGTATCTCCGCACCTCCTGGCCAGGTAGCCTGGGAATAAAAGTTATGTTCTAGAAGAACTCGGTGCAGGCTGCATGCTTGAGTTGGGAGCAGCCTGCTCAGGTCTTAGAAACGACGGGGTGAGTGGCGTTTGCTGGTGTTGTGTCCAGTGGGTTGTACCGGATCCAGTACCAGCCTCTCCCCTAGCAGATGAAGTGCTGTTCTCAGGGGCTCATGGTCTGCCTGTCTTCAGCGATCCTTGCTCTGTTGTGGGGAGTGGCTGGAGCCATCAGAACTGATTCTGAAGGGCCACATTCCTGCACCTTGATGACTTGCAGGCCAGGACTTCTCCAGACTGAGTTACTGCAGTGAAAACCTGAGCCATACTGGGGCTAGCCTTGTCTGCAGAGCCAACCAATGAATGACACCACTGCAAAAGAATTCCAAGCTCCTGGAATGGATGCTCTCAGCCTGATGTGGCACCAGAGATGACGGGTCAAAGACAACCCCCTTGAGGGCTTGTTAAAGCTGGGAATGCTAAAGAGCTGAGGGTACCAGGAACTCTATAGTGCTTGCTTAGTCTGCGCAAGTCCCTGGGGTCAATCCCCAGTAGGCCAGTTGGGAAAAAAAGTCAGGTGTTTTATGATTCTCAGGACTCGAAAGGCAGAGACAAGAGGATTAGGAGTTCAAAGTCATCCTGGGGTACATGGTGAATTTGAGGCAGCCTAGACTACAGGGAACACTGCCCTAAAGTCAGAGAGGGGCACAGTGGCTCAGACCTACAGCACCTTTGGTGTTTCAGACCAGCCAGAGCTACAGTTAGACCCCATTTCAAGAAACAAACAAACACACACACACAAATTAATTGGGTCAGCAAGAAGGCTCCATGGTAAAAATGCTTGCTGAGCAATGGAAAGAGAGAATGGACCCTGGAAGCTGTCCCCTGACCTCTACAAGCATACTCTGGTCCCAGGCTGCCTGCCCACTCATAAACACACACCACACACAAACACAAATGCCTGAAAATACTACAGTGACACTCATTACTTTGAATGCTAGCTTAAAAACTCAGTGGGGGTTGGAGAGATGGCTCAGCAGTTAGGACTGCTGGTTGCTCTTACAGAGGACCCAAGCTCAGTCCCTGCACTCGTATGGTAGCTCGTATGTGACCACCCACAACTCCATCCAGTTCCCTGGGATCCAGGGCACTTCTCTGATCTCCGTGGGCACCAGACAACCCACGTGGTGCACAAATATGCATGCAGGAAAAACAGCTGTGCATATAAAATCAGATTTCAAAGTAAATAAAAATGAACGAGGGCAGCCTTGAAGAGATGGCTCCATTGTAGAGGACCGGAATGTTTAATATGAAACTGGGTCTCTGGATTCCCCCAAAGTCAGAAGTGCGGTCTTAGGCATACACATACCCAAATGGTATCTCTTGAAGTGCTGAACCCCTGCTCTGGGGGTTCAGAGGCCCCATTTGTCAGCTCCATCCACCCTGTCCCATTCTAGCCCCAGGACATTTGAACCAGCAAGAAAACAATAGCACTATATAACTTCTACCACTGCAGAGGGATGTTTACATATGTTACATATGAGATTTGTGTCCATGAGTGAGTGTCATGTGTGTGGATGCTGAATCCCCTGGATCTCCTGGAGCTGGAGCTACAGGCTGTTCTGAGCCACCAGACATGGGTGCTGGGAATCAAACCCCGGTCCTCTGAAAGAGCAGCCATTGCTCTTAGAGAGTCACCTCTCTAAGCCCGTGGCTGGAAATTTTGTTGTTTTTGTTGTATTGAGGCAGTATCTGTGCTTAGCCTTTCTTCCTGTGAGACTAGCACCCTGATGGGAGGCAACATCTCCCCAAGGTTAGGGCAATGAAGTCACTGGGCTTGCTTGGCACAGGCAGAGTGAGTCAAGGACACCGAGTAGCAGAACAGGACGGAGTATCTACAGGTCACCTTTGCCAGCACGAGGGAAGCCTGTGCCTGAGAGAGCTTAGTGGGTTCAAGAGGAAGCAGGGAGGGTCCTGCCTAGTCTGTAGTTACCAGCCCCTCATGGCCACTTATTTCCTGAGCATGTGTGTGGCACGCACATGTTTATGTATGTGACAGTGTACATATACATAGGGAAACGTGTGTGGAGGCCTAAGGTTGACACTGAACGTCATCTCAATTGCTCTCCATCTTATTTTTCGATAAATGTTTAAGAATTTGTGCTGGGTATGGTGGCACACACCTTTGGTCTGGAGGCAGAGGCAGGTGGATCTCTTAAATTCCAAGGCCAACGTGGTCTACAGAGTGAGTTCCTGTATGTTCTACACAGAGAGCCCATCTCAAACAAACAACGTTGCATGTGTGAGCACGCATGGCAGTGCACACATGTGGTGAGAGGTCATTCATGTTGAGGGAGTTGGCTTCCTCCTTCCATATGTGGGTTCTGGGACCTGAACTCAGATTGTTAAGAGTTGGCAGCAATCACTTTATTCACAGAACCATCATGCTGGCCCTCCAGCTTACTTTCCTGAGACCAGGTCTCTCTCTGAATCAGGAGCTGATTCCACTAGACTGGTCAACCAGTCTCCGGCAGGGCTATGCAGCCACACCGGGCTCTTTTGTGGGAGCTGGGGATCTGAACTCAGGTCCTCATGCTTGTAGGATGAGCTCCTTCCCGAAAGCATTGCCTCAGTGTTCCATTTACTTTTTGGTGTCAGGACCCGAACCTACAAATTCATGCATATTAGGCTAGTCTCTACAACTGATATCCTAGCCCTGTTGCTTTTGAGACAGGGTGTAAGTTGTCCAGGTTGGCCATCCTCCTGCCTCAGTAGCTGGAAATGACAGGCCCATGCTACTGGGTCTGGCAACCATCAATGTTTGCAATCAGTTAACACAATGGTGGACATCTTCTCTTGGGTGCACTGTCTACATTATTACTTTTTTTTTTTTAAGACAGTTTTGCTGTGCGACCCCAGCTGTCCTGGAAGTATAGGACTCTACCTGCCTCTGCCTCCTAAGTGATGGGTTTAAGGGCATATGCTACCACACCTGGACATTTTTAAAAATGTTATGGGTGTGTGTTTTGCTTGTATGTGTGCATATGTGTACCATGTGCATGCCTGGTGCCTGGGGAGGTCAGAAGAGGGTGTCAGAGTCCCTGGACTCTAGAGGGTCGTAACTGCTATGTGGGTGCTAGGAATCCAACCAAGGTCCTCCAGAAGAGCAGCCAGTGCTCTTAACTGCTGAGCCACCTCTCCAGCCCCCACTGTCTACATCTTAAACATGCAGGTGCTACGCCAGGCTGGCCACTCTACACATCCTGAAATAGGGAGCTTTCAGATAGCGGCGTGAGAAGTCCTCTCCATGGAGTGGGTGAGATGGCCGTGACATCAGGCCTCAGGGGCTCTACCCCCCCCCCATACACCCACGTTTAATAAATATAAAGGGGATGAGGGCACACACCTTTAATCCCAGCACTTGGGAGGCAAAGGCAGGCAATCTATGTGAGTTCGAGGCCAGCCTGGTCTACAAAGCAAGTTCCAGGACAGCTAGGGCAAAACAGAGGAAACCTGTCTCAAAAACAAAGCATTTATAAACACACATACACACCCCCCCCACACACACACAAGCCTCTTTGGTGCAAGCCCATGACCACCATATTGCCCGCACACTAGGGTGGCACAGGCCATGATTCAGTCTGGAGCCATAGGCAATAATCACCAGGCCTAGAAACTCACCCGCAAACAGCAACTATCCTATGGGCCTTGGCAAGATAACTTGGTGGTAAAAGTGCTGCTGCTGAGACCATGAACCTGGGAACCCATGTCGTAGCAGAGGACTCGTCCCTGAGGCTTTTTAATCTCGTGTTTGTGCTTTTGGTTTGGGCTGGGAACTTGATATGTGACCAGACTGGCCTTGAACTCTCTGAGACCCACCTGCACAAACACGAGAAAGAAGCCAAGGCTGGTGGTGCATGCCTGTAACACCAGTACCTGGGAGTGCAGGAAGAGGGTCAAAGTTTCATAAGTTCAAGGGCAGCCTAGGGCTACAGGAAACGTTCCCAAAACAACTGCCCCCAGATTAAAAAACTGAAATCAGATAACAAAACTTTGAGAGAAAACCAGACTGTACCCCTGACGTCTGGGCATAGGCCTCTGAGAAGCTAGTGCGAGAGTTTCAGGCTAACCTAGGCTATATGAGACCTTCCCTCACATGGCAGAAAGATCCAACTCCTACAAGTTGTCCTCTGACCTTCACAAGAAAGCTGTGGCACATACACAAATATACATGTGTGCTCACACATAAACACGGTCTCCAGTTGGATCTCTGTGATCCAACTGCTTTGCCTCCTGAGTGCTGGGATTAAAGTAAGGCATGATATGGTACCTGAGCTAAAATTTAAAAAACAGAAAATGACCCTGGGGAACTGGCACAGTGGCATGTGCCTGTAATCCCAGCTACGGGAAACTGAGTGCCAGCAGTCTGAGGCCAGCCTGGACTATTGGATGAGGTTTGCTGTGAGGATCAGGGTGGGGAATGTGGTAACTATAAAACCATGTGCTCAGCCCTTAGCACTGGAAAAGGAAGTCAGTGAACCAGCTGTGACTCAGTCTCCCTCTATGTACCTAATGGATGCCTGGTACATATTCTTAAGTACTCTTCTCATATAATTTCAAACAAGAAAGTAGCCTTTATACAAGTCCGTTTTTATTGGTAAAAAATAATATGTAACTAAATCTAACTTGATTTTTAAAATCAAAGTTCATTTAGTGATAATGTACATTTTATAATAAAATTGTAGTAAAATACTGACATTTGATAGGTTAAACAAAGTATCATTCATGTAAAAATCATGTTATAGCATGTAAAATTTAATTAGAAAATTCATGGTTTACACAGCACAGCATCTTGTTGACATAGGTGACTAACAACAGAAGAATTCACAGTGAGGCTTGACATTCACGACAACAGACTGCAGGCTGAGCTGCTAAGGCTTCGGTTCTTGTCATTAAGGTGCATAAGAACCGAGCCAACGGGACTGGACCCCACAGCCAAGGCTCACTTACTTCACCAGTAAGACCTTGACACAAACACTATCGTCCTTAAGGTAAGACAGGCGCCAGCAGCTTTGCTCTGTTTTCAGACAGGAGATAAATCTGTGTTTTACAGTTAAAATTTGTACAAAAGTCAAGCCCTGAAGTTTTTCCCCAAGAGAAAAGTTCTAATGTTAAAACTCTGTTAAAAAAGAGAGAGAGAGAAAGAGAGAGGTAGTATGTGGAAGTATTTGTACTTACAATGTTGAGCCTGTGTGCCACTTAGCTCAGGAATACAACTGAGCCTTCTACACCTAACGTTACCTTCCACCCGAGAGCCACACTGCGAAAGCTCCCTGACGGTGCGGAGGCTAGAATGCTGTCAGCAGCGGTGCTGTGTAAGAGGGAGAAGTTGTGAACTCGACACAAAGCCACGGGGTCGCCCCGCCCAGCCTCAGCTAGGCATCTGCAAAGAACATGTTCGGTGTTGATTGAGTCTAGCTCCCCTCACTGGATCAAGACTTCATATCTGCCGGCTCTTACTGTAGAGAAAAAAACGTCCTTCAACTCGGAGTCATCGGAGTCTTCGCTGTTGTAAAAGTACACAACTGTGAGGTGTCCATACTTGCCCCACCATAAGGTTAAGTAATAAATAACTGTCCACCTGGGGACACACATGAGGGTCTCGGTGCCTGTGCATGCAACACGACGGCGTCAGGTGAGGGGAGAATAATTGCTGTTCCCTCCTCCTGAATGGATGCAGAAGAGAATAAATAACTCACACAATTAACACCCCTTCGGGTGGCGAACTTGACACAGGCTTCCTGAAGTACAGGCAGCACCCTAGAATCCCCAGGAAGAAAAAACTCATCTTTTGTATAAAAAGTGTGCATTTGTTCTGTTTGTTAGTCTCTTAACCTGGGGTCCTTTTGATGCAACATGATCCTCACTGCCTGGTACACTGGAGAAGCATGGGTCACACTAAACGCACAACACACGCAGGCACGCACGCACACAGGGACAATCTCACACAGGGCTGGGGGTGAGGAAAGTTAGCAGTTAAAGGGCATCAATAGGACTGAAGCACCCTGCAACTCTGAAGCTACAGGATGGAGACAAAAACAGGTCTAGGGTGGGGTAATGGGAACTGCCCCTAAACAGAAAGTCTTAGCTACAGAAAGTCTTAGCAAGCAGGAAAACAGAACAAAACCGCACGTGGAAAAAAGGATTTGTCACGATTAACACAGACACATTGGGAAAAGTCAGAATGCATTGATGTTGGGAACCCAAGCACTGAGGTTCCCAGCAGACCAAGGGGACATCAGACTTCACGGAGGACAAGTGAACGGTTCTGCAGGCCAGGGAGACATTGCAGCAAAGGCCTCACACCTGCATCGTCGCGGTCTGTCAACAGTCACGCCATCCCAGCCACACTTCAGGCTCGCCCGTGGGACAGCGAGGCCCGGAGGTCCACAGCATCAGTCCTGTGATACATTTATAGCGCTTGGAAAACACACGTGGCGGGTTCACAACGTTATGATCGTTCCGTCTTCCTCTAACAGCCTCTGGTCCGGAGTGTGGGGTCCAAACTCTGTGTCCAGGTTGCTGGGCACAGGCACTGGGTCCTGCAGAGGGGAGAACCCATTCTGTCCCGCCTCAAAGCTAAGCTCTATCTGCGTCAGGGACTCCAGGCTCTGGGCATCCGGGGCAGCCTTTGGGATCTGCTGCGGCTCACCACTGTCTTCAATGATGATGTCGTCCTCGCTGTCCTGGTCCTCTGGCTCAAAGCTGGTTTCCACCTGCTGCGGGTAGCCCGGGAGGCTGTTGTCGGTGGACTGGCCGGAGCTGCCGGAAGTCCGACTGTTCCGCACAACGTTGTTCCTCTGGTTAGCTGGCCGCACGGTGATGATGAGGTTGCGGCTGTTGGCTATCATCATGTCAGTCACTTGGTCCAGACTCTTCCCCGACACCTCTATTCCGTTCACTTCCAAAACTTCATCATTGACAGCTAGCAGTCCCGTGCTCTGGGCCAGACCCCCGGGTACGAGCCGGGATATGAAGATCCCCGGGACTTTCTCTAAGCCATGCGGTGTCACCCGGACACTGGAGCCGTCTCGGATGTAGAAGCCCAGGGGCTTCTCTGTGCCATACTTGTACAGCCTGACCCTCCGGTGGGTCTCTGGAAGGATGTCCACGTCTATGATGGACGACACGGGCCGGAAGTCCTGGGGCATGCTGATGACGATGTGGGGCTTCTTCCTGTGGTTGTCGGGACGCAGCACATTGCTCAGCACGTTCTTCTTCCTGATGAGGGTGTCTGTACCAAAGGCACTGTAGTCGGCTTCTTCTGCTCAGGCAGAGAACACACACAAGACGGTTACACATCTGCCCACAAAGGATCACACCAGCCCACGTACATGCCACATCAAGATCAGCCGGCTACCAGGACTGCAACTGTGACTGCCACGCCGTAAAGAAAACACTAGAGGGCCCTCTCAGACACACCTCAGAGGTCACCAACTACTGAATATTAACTGGCCAGTGAAATTCTGGTAGCGTCAGGCATGGTCCACACACCTGTTAACCCAGTGCTCAGGAGCCTAAGGCAGAAGGTAGGAGGATCTCAAGTTCGTGGTCAGCCTGAGCTATATAACAACAAGCTTGAGGCCAGCCTGGGTTACAGAGTGAAACCCTGTCCCAAAATCTAAAAACCGAAACAGCAACAACACAATAATGGTGGCAGATCTTACAGGCTCACATGTCCTAGATCCTTTTCACACTGCTGGGCTGGCCTCAGCCACTCAGACGGCTGAGGCACTGAACTATGGGTATGTTACCTCCCACTCCTGGCTACAACTTCACCCCACCTCTTGCTCATGAGGTTTTGCCTTGTATTCAAGGAAATCCTCCTGCCTCAGCCTCCCAAGAGCTGGGATTACAAGATAAACCACAATACTTAGCGCCTCTTTTTTTTTTTTTTTTTTCCCCTGAGATAGGGTTTCTCTGTTTAACAGTTCTGGCTCTCCTGGAACTTGCTTTGTAGACCAGGCTGGCCTTGAACTCAGAGATCCACCTGCCTCTGCCTCTCAAGTGTGGAGATTAAAGGTGTATGCTACCACCTGGCTTCTTTTTTTATGTATATTGGTGTTTTGCCTGCATGTCTGTCTGTGTGAGGGTGTCAGATCCCCTAGAACTGGAGTTACAGACAGTTGTGCCTTTGTGGGTGCTGGGAATTGAACCCAGGTCCTCAGGAAGATTGACCAGTGCTCTCACCCACTAAGCCGTCATTCCAGCCCCCTACGATCTCATTTTTAAAAAGCAGCTTGGGCTCCCAAGACAGAGATCAGTAGTAAAGGTGATTACTGCCAAGCCTGATGACCTGAGTTGGTTTCCCAGGACCCACATAACAGAACAGAGAATTAACTTTACGTTGTTCTCTGACCTCTATGTACACTGCTGGCACACATGTACACACACAGAGAAGTACTCTTAAACCAGGTATAGTGGCTTATTCCTGCAATCCCAGCTCCTGTGTAGGAGAGGCAGGAAGATCAGGACTTCAAGGCAACCTCAGCTACATAGCGAGCTCCACACCAGCCTGGGCTACATGAAACCTTCTCAAAAATATTTTAATTTAAAATATTTGCATGTAGCCGGTCAGTGGTGGTGCACACCTTTAATCCCAGCACTCGGGATGCGGAGGCAGGAAGATCTCTGTAGCCCCTTTAAATTACGCAACTCCACTCTGCATGTTTATTACATCCAAATGCAAGGGCAGGAGAAGGGGCACTCACTCCAAGGGAAGGGAGCATGAGAGCGGGACAGCGAGGGTGAGGCAGGCAGGAAGGGCACTGGCCTTGAACTGCCCAGGCCCTGGGTCAAAGGCTGGGAGGGTGGGAGGGAAGGGCCCAACCTGCATCAACACTCACAGCTAATTAAGTGAAGCAGGAGCACAGCAAACACTTAGAACAGCTGTCTCCGCAGGTGAAACTCCCTTCTGCCCCACAGGCTCTGAGTCTCCCGCTTCTTACTTCAGTAGAGGCAGAAGTGTCACACGACACCAGCGCTGTGACAGACTGGGGGGGGGGGGTGGCAAACCTGTGGAGCTCTTGTCCCATTTAAATCTCACTTCCTATTCAGGTAAAGCTGTGGGGTTTGTTTTTGTTTTGTTTTGTGTTTTGCTGGTGAGATGGCTCGGTGGTTAGGGTGTTTGCTGCCAAGTCTGATGACCCGAGTTTGAGCCTCACCGCCCATAAAGTAGAGCGAGCCAACTCCTGCAGGTTGTCCTCTGACCTCCCACATGTACACACACACACACACACACACACACACACACACACACACACACGATAAACACAAGGAAGGGAAAATTGCTGCCGCCTAGTAAATCACAACAAAAACAAGTGCTTCTAATTGTGCACCTGCAGCTGAATTAATTCCTCAAGCCAGCCGGGTCGGTCACACGCTAGAGAACCCTAGACAGCACTGTCACACAGATGACACATCAGGGAATGAAGGGCACAAGGAAAAGGAAACAAGAAGCAGGCGAGCTGAAGGCCACGTCAGGGCTGGGCTTGGTGCTGGGGTCTGGCTCCCAGGCTCGGGAGGCTCAGAGGGAACACTGAGCTCAGGCTGGGCTGCGCCAGGGACCTTATCTCAAAGCAAAAACCTAGACCGACCAACCGAGCAGAAGCCAAAATCAAAACTGGGAAAATGGTCAATTAACAAAATGTAGTTAACCAAAAAACAAAAACCAACCAACCAAACAACAACAAAAACCCCACAAAATATAGTTCAGTTACAGGAGAACAGGGCCTGGGACATGGAGGCAGAATCAGGAGCCCAAGGTCATCTGTCCTCAGCTACCAAGTGAGGCCATCCTGGGCTACACCACACTTTTGTTTCAAAAAACCTAAATTCATGTTCATCTCCATCCCCCACAATAACTAGCTGGAAGTCCTCATTCCTTGGAGGCTACAGACTGCCTGGGCCTTGCAGAACTCTAGTACTTTCTCACGGGCAGCTCCCAACCCAGGGCATTAGAAGTAAAAACAATCCAAGACAGGGTGAACCCTGGTTTCTCTACTGGACCAGTACTTCCAGGTTCCCACCATGAGCATCAGGTATGGGTGCCTCGGGGTTGGGATTGCTTTGGCAGCCCCCAACTCATACCCTCTCATAAGGAGTCTCTACTGTATCCTTAGGCAGAAACTTGCTTTATAGTTTGGTTTGAAAAATAAATGCATTGAAGCAGGAGTTCTTGGCAAAATCTCATTAAAAGCCGTTAGGATTAGTCTTGGACCGGACTGTTTATTTCAGAACAACCAATAGCAGGCGTCTGCGTAACATGTCTAGGGAAATTCCAGACCACAAAACTGAGAAGGCCACCAAGCTGCCTGCAAGCCTGCTCCTGGGAAACCCTACTGAGAAAACCCGAATCTGCATAATTTGGCATGGCCTAAGACTCCCTCTGAATGCTGGCCCTGAATTCTCAGAAGCGCTACACCCGCACAAAGGCACCCTGTTCTTTCCACCCAGCTAATCAGCTTCCAGCCACTGGGAAAGAGACAGGCTGGCGGCAGGCCAGGGTGCAGGGTGTGAGTGTAAAGTGTAAAGGTGACCGTCCAGGAGGCCCCAGCTGGAGGCTGAGGTCACTCCCAGAGGCCACGGGAGTCCCAGGGACTCACAGCAGACCTGGCCCAGGCCATACAGGAACACCCCAAGGAGAACTCTGTCCTCCAGCCAACAACCTCCACTCACTGAGCGGTCAAATGGGATCTCTTCCTCACACACAGCAAGCCCCGCAGGGCCTCTCTCTGAGTTCTGGGAGCTGGTTCCCTCACAGGAGCTCACTAAGGGCCCAGACTCATCACCCAGAGTGAGGGTGAGCCAGGGCCCATTGTAATGGCAGCAAGAGAAGAAATGCCCACAGTGAACAGAAAGCAACCCAGCAAACAAAAGCAAACACCATGCATCCCTGGACAGGAAGCCCCAGCAAACACACAGTACAGCCCTCAGGAGGCTCAAGAGCTTGCTTGACCCATTAGAAGTTCAGAGGGAGACAGGGCGGCTGGGCCTGGTGGCATGGCCTGTAGAGTCTGCTACGCGGAGGCTGAGACCGCAGGATGGCTCCAGGCCCAGCTGGAGACCCTGTCTCAAAATAAAACAGAAAGGCTGGACCTCAGGGAGTGGAGGCAAGAGGATCATGACTCCAGGCCGACTTGTTACACTGCAAGGTCAAGGCTAGCCCCTATCTATCTCAGTGACCACTTGGGGTGGGGTGAGGCTGGCATAGAGCTCATATGTCAATGGTTGGACCCTGACCTAGCAGACTGAGGCCCTGTGTTCAATTCCAAGGAACAAGAGAAGGAAAGTGTCAGATGTGGTGACAGTCATAACACTGAGAGCTGAGGCACAGAGGATATGGGGATGATGACACATGGGGACCGGACGGCCACCACAACAACTACTGTGAGTTCAAGACCAACCTGGGCTACACAGCAGAGCTTGTCTGTTTTCCAGGGCACATATGTAAAGGAGTAAGTAGACGTGTTCCAAGAAAACTTTACAAAAACGTCAGGCCTCTGCTTGCCAATCCTTTTCTAATCCACAATGATTAGCCTAGGCTGGCCCTGAACTGACTTCCTACCAGGATTAATTACAGGCTTGTGCCACTACTCCTGGCCTCTTGTGAGCTACTGTGTATCTGTTGGGCTGTATTAAAATTAAACCCTGGCTCATTAAAATGTAACCTTAAAACATAGCTACAAAGTCATGTCCAGTGTCAGGTCAAGGTCTAAGAGCTAATTTTCTGCCAGTTACAGATGTGTGAGCTGTATGTCCTCCACTAGACTCAGCAGAGCAGGAAGCCCTGTGAGCACCACTCACAAGCCCAGGACACAAGCACACCCCCCATCCACCCAGAGCAGCAGCACAACCAGAAGGCAGGGTATGGAAACAACCAGCCTGGGGGAGGCCTGTGCTCTAACATGTCTTGGGATCCTATACGGAGCAGATCTACCTAGAAAGCTCTAGAGACACATCGCTCAGACTCTGTTCCAATGCGACAGGAATGACTGGTGGCTTATGTTATTGCTTTGAGACGGAGGCTCCCTATGGAGCCTTGGATGTCACAGTAGAACTCACTCTGTAGACCAGGCTGACCTGGAACTTGGAGATCCGCCTGCCTCTGTCTCCCAAGTGATAAACTACAGGTGTGTGTGCCACCATAACTAACACATTCATTTATTGCATATGTGTGCATATGTGTGTGCATGCACATGTGGTCAAGGGCAACTTGTGGAAGTAAGATCTCTTCTTCTACCACATGAGTTCCAGGGATAAGAC